AATTTTCTGCTATCTTCAATATTTTAATGATTGAATATTTTAGTCCATTCTGATTGTGATCATTTCCACTTTTCCTACTCTCAGTTCAGAAAAAAAAAAAAAAAAAGGTGCATTTGCTTTTTGGGACAAGTACAGAGTTATTTCGCTTTGGAGAATTCCATGAAGTTTTTGCAGGATGGTCAACTGTGAAGGGAGTCAGTGGAACCTTGACAGGTAGAAACAGTCCCAATCATATATTTTTTAAAGATAGCATGAGAAATGGAAACTAAAAAGAATCAGAAGAAGAAATGGTTGTGCATCTTCATGTTTACCAACATGCAAAGGCATTTTAAACCTAAAATTCTTTCATGCAAAGGCATGCAAAACCAAGTGCAGCATAGAATGAAGAAAAGGGGATCAGCAAAGAATGCAGAAGGTTCCAGGCAACCACTAAAATAAGCTTCAAGTTCATACAAACCTCCAACATTAAATTGCTATGTCTGATATATATGTTTTCACCATCTAGTCTCTCTCTCTTTTTCTGTGAAAATGAAAGGGGGGAAAAACAGAAAAGCATAAAAAATTAAAACGTTGTTCTTGCGGGAAAAAACTGAAAATTGGCAAAGCAAAAAATATTTAAAATTAAATGTATGCAGTGCAGCATATGACAACATGAAATGGTCACAGAACCACAAGGACACACAGAGAACATGATTAACACTCGTAAATGGATGACCTGTTGGTAAATGATGGAAGATGTCATGATGCTATTTAAATAGACAGTGCTCCTAGCTTCACTGGCTTCTTATGTAATAAGCTTTTATGTTCATTTTGAAACTGAACAATTTAAGTGTTACCCTAAAGTAATGTATGACTCCAAAAAACTTTGAAACTCCATGTACCATAGAGATATACTTTAAAAACATTAATTTTTGGAGTTTTTTTCATACTCAGTAATACTACAGTATCTAAATCTCTAAAATCTTTTATAAAAAAGGAATTAACAAAGTTGGGTGCAAGTGGCTCACATCTGTAATCCTGGCTACTTGGGAGGCTGAGAGTGGGAGGATCAATGGTTTAAGGCCAACCTGAGCAAATAGTTCAAGAAACCCCATCTCCAAAATAACCAGACCAAAATGGACTGGAGATGTGGCTCAAGCCATAGAGTACCTGCTTTGCAAGCACAAAACCCTGAGTTCAAACCCCAGTCCCATCACACACACAAAAAAGAGATCTAACAGTATTTTATACTTGATCATCCAGTAAATATATTCAGTAAGAACTGATTCATCCCACTCTGTAATTGAGAAGAATGAGGCGCACAACAGTCTAACTCACAGTTATTAACAATACTGGAAGATGCTGCTTTGATGGTTTTTATAGTAAATGTGGATAAAATACCAATGATTCTAAGAATATGATGCCATTATTAAATAGTTCTCACAAAGTTTGAATATAAAGTATATAAGTTTGACCCTCACTGACATTTTTTTCAAAAAGATATTTCATTAAAAGTTTATTTTAATGAAATCTTTCAAAAAAGCAGTATAAAATTATAATTTCTTTGGTGTATATATATATATGTATACACATATGCATATATATCTATATGTATATATGCTCTGTTAAAGTGAGTTCTGATTAAGAGAAATCAATGAAAAGACTGGATCACTGTCTTTTTAATGCACTATAAGTGAGCATGGGTGAAATGGCAACATAATTTTGTGAAAGTGAAAAATGGCTAACCTTCCTCATTCTTATCAGATCTTCAGTTTTTTCTGCAAGCTTCTGTTTTGCCATAATTCAAAAAAGAAAAAAATGACAAAATATTGGCTCATTGAAGTTTGTCTGAATCTTTATTTTATAATTTTTTTTTAAAAGGAGAGGGCAGTGAGGGGAAGAAAAAACTGAGGGGTACAGGGAAAAAGAAACAAGTGGCCTGTTGGCACAAACCTGTGTTTGGTCACCATTTGAGGTGGGTACTATGACCTCGGTGTGGGTTTTTTCCACCTACATTTAAGAAATAAAGTGGTACAAACATTTTGAGGTTAGTAGGTTTCTATGAATAGCCTCATTTCCAAATAAGCTGCATCATGAAGATGGGAGTGAAATATACAGACAAGTAGTCATATGATGCAGTCTTACGGAGGGAATTATAGGGAAAGGTATTACTGCAGCAGTAATGTGTGAGTTCACCATCACATTTCCAATGTGTGAGTTCACCATCACATTTCCAAGCTGAAGAAGTAATGTGAATATTCAAATTATCAAAAAAGAAAATTAATCATTGCACTGATGAAGAAAACATTTTTATATTTATTTATAAAAGAGTACTCACTAAAAATAACTTAGGCTTATTTAACATATGATTGCAGTCATATGGTTTTGTTTTGCCTTTTCTGATGATCTGAAAGTATTTTAAATAATATTTAAAAACAAATTTATAAATGAAGATATCAATGTCCAATATACATGCTAGAAATAAACAGATTAATTTTTAGTTAAAACACAGATTAATAAACTACATATGACATAACAAACAGGTAAATACAAACAATTTTGTCAGTTGACCAATACATTTAAGGAGGCAGTTTCATTCTTCAGTTCATTACACAAAACGTCAAAACAAACTTCATCCAAGTTATAACTGACACATGCAATTACTTCCAGGGCTTATTTATAAAGAGGCACACACAAGACACACAGGCCTCTGCTGCAACATTCAACACTCCGCAATCTCCTTTCTAGGGTATTGGAGTCCACATTTTTGGTGGAAGGACAAGATTCATTCTTTTTTTTTTAGTAGCCATATATTTCTGTCTTTTTTTTTCTTTTTTTATTATAGTCATATGTGCATACAATGTTTGGGTCATTTCAAAAATCTATCTTTTTTTTGTTTTATTTTTTGGTGGCACTGGGGTTTGAACTCAAGGCCTCACACTTGCTAGGTAGGTGCTCTTACCATCTGAGCCATTCCATCAGCCCAAGATTCATTCTTAATAGCAGGAAAAGAATATCTAAGGTTGCCTGTGTAGCTTTGAAACACCTCTAGTAATAGTCATTTTATATACAGAAAATGAATTAAGTATTTTTAAAAATCCAGACTGGCTATTAAAAGGAAACGTAACAATAAAGTGAGCACTGCCTAAAGCATTGGATATTTCAAAATCAGAAAACAGATTGTTTCTATTAAGTGATAAGTCAATCACTTTGTATCATTAAATCATCTGTAGAAGCTTATCAACCTGTGGTTTTGACATGTTCTTAGAAATCACACTAAGCAGCATTACTATGGAGTACAATGTCATTGTGCTACTTTTTCTAGAACTGAATGGAAAATACATAATACCAAACTTTGTAATAATGTCAAATGATAAGCACATTCAGGTATAGTACTTTTAACTACCTGGTATAATTAATAATTGGATCATTTCTACTCCGAAACCCATCATACTTGCTGTATGGTCATTAACAAGTTATTTTACCTGCCTGAGCTTAAATCTTCTTACTGCTAAAATGGAAATAATGTCTTCATAGAATTATGTATACTTTGTAAATACTAGTTTTAAATTATTTTATAAAGTTTAAGCTTCTTCTGGGCTATAGAACAAGTTCAAGGCCAACCTGGGCTACAGAGCAAGACCCCGTCTCAAAAAAGAACTTTCATTCCTTGTTTAAACTAATAACGATGTCTTTTTCGGTCCTTAGCAATTCAACAGCAGGAAACTGAGAGCTTCTACTTCAGTTTAAGAACTGAGGTCAAAAAGCTGGGAACAGTGGTGCATCACTATAGTCACAGCTAGTAAGGAGGTTGAGGCAAGAGAATCCTTTGAGCTCAGAAGTTCAGGGCCAGCCTGGGCAACACAGCAAAACTCTAGTCTCAAAAACAAAACCCAAGGCCAAGTAGCAATAGTAGTTCTGTGCATGCCCTTAAAGAGAACATTAAGTGAGATGTGGCTAAACACTGGGGAGAGGTGATACCTCCACATCTGCAGAATAGACCTTGTCAAACAATCCAAGAAGACAAAAAGCTACCCCTATCTGGCACCAAATTAGCACTACATAATGAAATTTACAATTACAAGGCTACTTTATTACTACTGTTGCTTTATATAATATATATGGCATTAAGTAAATGTCATAATTATTTTTTATCTGCTACAAATACAATCAGCTCAGATTCACCCTTAATTCTGCCACTACTATTACAGAAATAGGTTATCAGAGGAGGCTTCAGTTTCATTTAGATAGAATTAATTGGCAAGAAGACACCCCCTCCACCACCTTCTTGGCAATTAAATAAAATGAATATACCTGGGAGTGTTCTCTTCATTCTGCTAATGTTCCAAGAGCAAAGGGAACCTGTTTTTTCACTCTTTTTTTTCCTCTATGGACTCAATATAGTCTCAAAGGACAGTAAAACTGTATGTCACATTTAACAGAGTTTCTTTTATTTTTTGAATAGAGTCTCCCTATTTAGCTAAAGCTAGCCTGGAATTTGCTTTGTATCCCAGGCTAGCCTAGAACTCAAAATCCTTTGCCTCAGCCTATCAAGCTCTGGGATTACATTTGTGCCCCACCATGTCCAGCACAGTTTTGTTTTGTTTTGTTTCTTAAATACAGTAAAAAGAACCAGCTTATCCACTATTCTATAGATAAACTGGATATGATCTGGTTCCAAAAAAGGCCAGTTTTAGTCCACATGCTAAGATGAAAGGACTTACTAAGGTCTTAACACAGTTGGAAATTTAACAAACATAGAAAATTATAATTCTTCTTCTGAAGACAACTTCTCATAATTCCTGTTGACCACAGAGATACTACCTAGAAATAATTACGAACTAGTACCTCAATTCAATCTCTGGTTAAATGTACTTAAAAAACTTATAAACATATAAAAGATCAACCCTGATACTGTTAACTTCTGAGAAACATGCTAATTCAATTGGTGATTTTTCAACTCAGTGCAGTGATTGTGGGTATAATCAACTCAGAATCATAAGCAACTCAGCAGCATAACCTCTCTTACATAACAGATTTTCCCCTTCATATAAAATTGAGATTGAAACAACCACATTAGCGTGCCTTATGTAACATCTATTATTTGGAAATGTTGCACATGTATCCATTTTAGAAAATCAAATTATAATTTAATCAAAATACCAGAGCTGACTCTTACATAATGTGGAGATTCCTTGTGGATGAGTAAAATTATTTTACCTTGCTGGTGTGTTTTATAAAATACTTAGTATTTTTGTAATACTAAGTTGGATCAAGGTGTGGGTTACCTGAAAACTTCTTGGATGGATAGCTGTCTTTATGACATAATGCTATGAAAATATTTTACAGGTTCATAACAGATGACTTCTTTTAGAAAGAATAAGGAAGAAACAACTTTGATGGAATTCTATAAGACTTGGTTGCTTCGAAAACCTTCCTGGTCAAGGAGTTAAAGACCTCTAAATCAGAAAGAGAATTAGTTCTATCTGTGGACTTACCTTCCATGCTTCTGTCGGCTCTGGCTCAGCTTGCTCAGGTGGCTCTTCTTCCCCTTTTACTTCAGTCTTCCCTGTTTCCTTCTGTGTTTTTTTGACAGATGCCCCTGGCACGATGCCTTCTGTGACCTGACTCTGAGCAATGGCTGGTGCAGAGGTGGGCCGGGGACTTCGGTCTGCTGAATCAGCAGCTGCTGCTACATGAGAAAGAGAAAAGGGAAGCATAAATGAAGACAAAAGTCTCTGTACTTCTTGAAAAATCACCAGGAAAAATAACTGTAAATCCAGGACACACATGTCCAGTGCTCATCATAAGAAGATATAAGTCATTAGTGCTCTGCTGGGCAACTGATGGCAACGAGATAGCCATCTACCCTTATCAAAAGGCTAAAATGTGTTAATGATCATGTTTCATAAATGATGGACTCAGGAAGGAAAAGATCAAAGTAAGAAGAGAGACTGAAAACACATTATTGTAATCTGTTAATTTCAAGAACCTACAATGCAGTTTGTGGAGGAAAAAAGGGGTTAATTAAGTCTGGTTTCTTCCATGAAGTCTTTTAGAAATAAAGTCTGTTTAATTTCAGGAACCTAAAAACATATTCTAGGAAAAAATAATTCAGTCTGATTTTTTTCTGTGAAACCTCCTTGGAAGGATTACAAAACAACTTGATAAATGGCTCTTCTGATAAGACATGTACTACTTTTTGCTGCTTGTGAGGGCAAATCTTTGAACTAGATGTTTTCTCTTTTAATAATAAATCATTTGGCTAAAATAATATGAACTCAAAAGCTTTGGCCTTCCATGCTAAAAACACCTCATAAACATCTTGAGTGTTCTCTCCTGTCCTCTACCAGAGTCTTATCTATTATAGCTCCTATTCTCTAAAACATTTAGAGCACTGGTTCTCAACTCAGGTTGATTTTGCTTCCAGAACACATTTGGCAATGTTTGGAGACATTTTTGATTGTTACAAATAGGGAAGAAAGAAAGAATAGAGAAGAGAAAGAAAGAGATGCACTGACATCTAGTGCACAGGAGTCAAGGATGCCGAGTTGAAAAAATCTGATTTAAGGAGAGGACTGTACAGATCATTTTAGAGAGAATATTAACAATGATTAAATGATAAAAGCTCAATCTTTTCACAGAATTCAATGTTGTTTGGGTTTGGACTATTTAGCATCTGAGTTTTAGATAGTCTACTTCAAAATAGTCACTCAGGCACTAGGAATATATATAGCTCACTGGTGGAGCCCTTGCCTATCATGCAGAAAGCCTTTGGTTCCATTCCCAGCATAAAAAAAAAACCAAAAAACAAAAAACAGAGTCACTCATATGGTATTTATGGTTTTTACCTTCATCCCTTCAGGGAATGAAAGAAAATGTCTATGCACTTTGTAGTAAAACCTTACTTACCTGACACTGTCTAGGAATGAAGGTGTCTTCCATAAGATTTGGTATTTCTAATAATAGGCCACCCTTTCTTTCACTGACATTTTAAATTTTAACTCTTTCAAGGAAATACATAACATGTATTATACACACACACACACACACACACACACAGAGGCAGTACTGATATTTGAACTCAGGGCTTTGCATACATTTTTGTTTGTTTGTTTTGGCCTGGGGCTAGCCTGGACCTCAATCTGCCTGCTTACAGCATCCCACATAGCTGAGACCACAGGTGCACAACATCATACCTGGCTTATTTGTTGAATCTTGCTAACTTTTTGCCTGGGCTGGCTTCAAACAGCAATCCTCCAAATCTCTACCTCTTAAGTAGCAGGGATTACAGGTAGGAGCCACCACACCCAGCCCATGGAAATCTTTACAATGTGTATTAAACAGTCTTTCCTTTTCATTTTTTCCTCCCTTAACCTCCCTTTCTCTTCTGATACATTTAGATCAATATGCTGTAAAAAATTAAAACAAGGAATTCCTTAAATCAGAAAGACTAAAAAATTGAAATTCACAACTATTTGATAAGCACAACACTGTAAAAAATGCTTATTACCCTATAATGATCTCCAGTGAAAGAAACAATTTCTCAGAGGATGCATAGGAAAAACAGCAGAAACAGAAGAGTCTACTTTATTTTTCAGTGAAAAATCTGTGGTCTCTAGCAAGTTCCTGTTGCTAATGGGTGCTCTAAGCCAGTCAATGCAAGAATGACAGATGGCAGACCAAGCCTAACAAAACAAGGGGTGTGACAAAATATTTTTCTCACAGTTGTGTTAAAGTATCGTTACCCATGTGTATTCACACCTCCTCGCAAAGAATTAATTCAACTCTGCCTGGCATCATAGAAACATAGCCCTGCTTTCACCATGTGTTATTTTGCCACTTGAATTTGGTTTTAGTCCAATACTAATATTACAGAGCCAAATGATTTATGTCTTTAGCATTCCAAGCCTTGGCAATCTGTACTGTATGTGGAAAAGTAGGTATAAGTATAAAAACTGATGGACAGAAACAGAGGTGGAAATGGTTCAGAGATGGAAAATAATAGCATTCCAAAAGCAGCATGAAACACAGGCAAAAAACCAAATCATGAATCTTAGGCCCATGGTCACTTCAGTCACATGCAAGGAATATGTGTCAAGGAATGTATGTCACAAATTTCAGTGTCACCATTTGTAAAATGTAGAAGACAGTAACCGTTGAATAGTTGGGGAAGGGATACTCTAAATATTAATATCTTCTAATATTATTCCTAAGTCTTGGATTTCTTTTGTTGTGGTTTAATATTATTTCAAGAGTATGTTGAGCAAAAACTAATTATGCATATACTGACATGCAATTCAAAGGAAAGGTATCTGGGAGCTCTGGAGAGAGGTAAAGTTCTTTCATTTTCTCAATAAAGAGACTGCAAACTATGGACCACAATAATATATCATGGTGGTGACTGTTTTGTTTTGTTTTTTAGGCAGCGTCCCACTATATAGCCCAGGTTGGCCTTGAACTTGAGATCCTCCTACCTCAGCCTCCTAAGTGCTAGAATTATAGAAGTACACCATCACACCTGGCCAGGTGATTGTTTCCTTTAATACATCTTTATTGAGATATATTTACATATTCTGTAACTCACCCTTTTAAAGTATATAATTCAATGTTTTTACACAAGTGTTAAGGGTAGTGACTTTCTTTTTCTGTTTTGGCAGTACTAGGGACAAAACTCAGGGCCTTTGACTTGTTGGAGATAAGCAAGTACTCTGACTTAAATCACACCCTAGTCCTTTTGCCTGGTTTGTTTTCAGATAGGGTCTCACACTTTTGCCCAGGCTGGCTGGAGACTGAGATCCTTCTACTTTTGCTTCTCAAGTAGCTGGGATTATAAGAATGTACCACCATACCTTGCCCCAAGTAGTAATTCGTTTTTACCATGTTTTGGCTCAGGGATGGGGCTACATCCCTGAGTGGTAGAGTGGTTGCCTAGCATGCACAAGGCCCTAGGTTTAATCCCCAGCAGTGGGGGGGAGGGGGGAGAAAAGATGCTTTGGCTCTACAGTTTTATTAATTCATTTGTTAGCTATTACAAGATTTTGGAGTATATAGGGAACATTGAACTGTAAAAAGTTAGTATCTCCCATTTCTGACTGTTTACACAAACAAAAGTGCTGGTGATGATATTCTTATAGACACACTAACTTTACTTATTATATTATTTTTGACTGACAAGAACAGAAACATAAGTTGTATACTAGAGCAGTGAAGAGAAACACACAGTTATCATACTGAGTGGGGGAAACTTCTGCTAGCTATTGCTAGTGTTAGTATGGTAGAGGTGCTGCAGGGATGCAATGGCTCAGCAGTCCCATTGTCAGAGGGCCTATATGAATCACAGGAAGATTTTGAACACCAAACAAAACAATAACAACAACAACAAAAACCCAGCTGATACTCAGTCCACCTCAAATATATAAGCCATCCAGTAGTGAGACGTGGACACATGTTTTGTTGTAAAGCTCCAAACGTGGTATGATGCACTCCCCTGGCAAGAATTACTGTAACCATAACTCAGCAAATGGATGAACAAACTTAACTACCTGGTTGTGTGAAAATAGTAAGTTATATAAATTCTTTGTGTTCCAATTTTCTCACGAGTAAAACAATTTTTAAATGCTTCTTTTATTCAGTAAAAAGAATAGGAATAGGTGAAAATGTGTTGAAAAAGAAAAACAGAAACTGAAAAATCCTTATCATCCTTATTAGCTATCCTTGTCGCTTAATAAACCTGGGACCTGAACCAGTTTTGCTCTCCAGCTGGTGAAGCAGATGCTCTGAGAATCAGACAAAACAGAAGAGAAACAGAGTGCTCATTTGTACCATCAAAGTAAGGTCTCTTATATAGCACCTCTTCTGGAAGTTTCTCTAATACACCATTTCCAGTGTATAGCATTACATTAATTCTTTTTTAAAAAGGGGAGTGGACCCAACAAGGAAGTCTCCCTTTTAAGGAAGATGAAGAAGGATCTAGGAAAAGGAAAAAAGCTCTACAGACATTTCTAAATTTTAGAACTTACAGTAAGAAGATAACACAGAGAGAAAAAGAAGACATTTGAAAATAGAACTATAAAAAAATTTGTCCTAGTTGGGTGCCAGTGGCTCACGCCTATAATCCTAGCTACTTGGGAAGCAGAGATCCAGAGATCAGGAGAAATGCGGTTCAACGCCAGCCTGGGCAAACAGTTCATGAGACCCCCATCTCCAAAAAAAAATAACCACAGCAAAATGAAGTGGAGGTGTGGCTCAAGTGGAAGACCACCTGTTTTGCAAATGGGAAGCCCTGAGTTCAAGCCCCAGTACCACCAAAAATAAAAAAATTTGTCCTACTCAATTTATTTTATTATTATTATTATTATTTTGGCAGCACTGGGGTTTTGAAGTCAGGGTCTCACATTTGCTAGACAGGCATTCTTACCACTTCAGCCCTTCTGTCAGACTTTTTTTTTTTTTGTGATGGGTTTTTTTCAAGATAGGATCTTGAGGACTATTTTTTGGGCTAGTTTCGAACCACCATCCTCCTTATCTCTGCCTCCTGATTAGCTAGGACTACAGGCGTGAGCCACCAGTGCCACCCCTCACCCCCACTGTCCTACTCAGTTTAGATGCAATTTGGATAGTTAGAAAATATGTAAAATAGAATAGTGCCTAGAACACACTAAGTGCTCAATGAATATTAACTACTAGCAAGATTTATTTTCTTCTTTCTACAAAAAAAGTAATCTTGATGGAAAGAGTAAAAAGAACACATCTGGAAGAATAGTCTTAGTTTCTAACTAGCTTTGTGACCTGAGATAAATTTCTTAAATTCTAAGGTTAGGTAGGAATAATGAACATCAGTGGACAACTATGCCAAGAAATTAGAAAAAGAACAGTTCAGTGTAAGTGTGAAGGAAATAATAAAGATCTGAGCTGGCATGATTTATATTTAAAAATACATAATAGGATAAAACAGTAAAAGTTAAAGTTGGTTCTTTGAAAAGAATGTTACGAGCATGGCTCAAGTAGTAGAGCACCTGCCTAGCAAGCCTGAGGCCTTGAGTTCAAACCCCAGTACCACACACACACACACACACACACACACACACAAAAGTAAAAGATCTTGGGCAAGATTGTTCAAGAAAAAAAAGACACAATTTACCAACGCCAAGAATGCAAAAAGGGGCACTGATATAGACCATATACATACTAAAAAGATACCTGACTTTATGTCAATAAATGTGAAAATTTAGATACAAAAGGCAATTTCTAGAAAAACACAACTGGCCAAAACTGAAACAAGAACTAGATCATCTTAATCATCTCTTATCCAATAAAGACACTGAATCTGTAAGTAAAGAACCCTATCACAAAGCAGGGAATGGTGATTCAGGCCTATAATCCCAGCATTTAGTAGGCTGAGGCAAGAGTACTGTGAGTTCAAGGCCAGCCTGGGCTACATAGCGAGATCCTGTCTCAAGCAACAAACAAACAGAAAAGAACCCTCCCAACAAATAGCTCTAAAGGTCAAATGGTTTCACTGGTGAATTCTTTCAAACATTAGGGAGAAATAACACCAATCTTATACAAACTCTTTCAGAGAACAGCAAAAGCGAGAATCCTTCTTGGCTTATTTTATGAGGCCAACATAAACTGATATTAAAACCTAACCACAACATTACAAGATTGTAGTTCATTTCTCTTATGAAAATAGTCCACTCCAGTGTCCATGAGGGATTAGTTCCAGAACCACCCTTGATAACGAACTCTGAGGTGCTTAAGCTGGTGTAACATTTCATGTAAGCTATACAATACAACACTCTCCCATACACCTTAAATCACCTCAAAATCACTTACACCTAATAAAATGCAAATGTTATGTACATAGTTGCATGTTGTATTGTTTAGGGAAGAATGACAAGGAAAAAGTCTTACATGTTCAATAGAGTGAAAAAAATTGTTTTCAAATATTTCCACAGATGTCAAACCTGAATATATGGGGGTCTGACTGTAATTGCAAAAATTCTAAAATAATATGAAAAGAAAATTATTTGACCAAACTGTGTTTACTCCAAGAATGTTTGGCTGGTTTAAAAACTGAAAGTTAAAATAATTCATCACATAAGATAAAAAGGAGAAAGTTTATATTATATCAATCAATTAAGTAAAAAGTATTTGACAAAGGTCAACACTAACTCATGATAAAATTCAGAAAACTGGGAATGAAAGAAAACTTCCTTAGCTGATAAAAGGTAGCTACACAAAACCTAGAACAAACATCACACTTAATGATGAAGTGCTGCTGCTTTTCACTAAGATTGGACTGAGACAAAATGCTAATTCTTTACACTTTCATTCAGCATTACATTGTATGTCCTACTTAGCAACAAAGCAATTAAAGGAATTAAAAGTATGAGTTGGGAAAGAAGAAACATAACTGTTATTATTTTTGGTTGATATTGTACCCCAAATAACCCACAGACAGGGTTTGAGGTATAGCTCAGTGCCAGGATGCTTGCCTAGCATGAATGAGGCCCTGAGTTCAATCTCGAACACTGCAAAAATTAATAAATAATCCACAAATAAACCATTAAAATTGATAAATATTTTTAGTAAAGTTACTAAATACAAGGTCAAACTAGAAAATATCAATTGCATTCCTATGCAGCAAATTAATAGAAAACAAATATTTAAAAGCCATCATTTAAAGTAGCAAAAGCCATCAAATACCTAAGACTAAACCTAATGATGTGCTTGCTGGATGCAGTAGTACATACCTATAAACCCAGCACTTGGGAGGTTGAGCCAGGAGGATCTCGAGTTAGAGGCCAGTCTGAGCTACATAGCAAGACCCTGTCTCAAAACAAACAAAAACCAAAAAACAAACAAAACCAGTGAAAGATGCATAAGTTATCTACACCAAAAAAACATCAAACATTATATATTTCATGTTCACAGATTCAAAGACTCAATAGTATGTTGATTACTTTCAAATTGATCTATATAGTCAACTCAATTCCAATGAAACTCCCAAAATGTTTTTAGTGAAAATTAAAAATCTGACTCTAAAATATGTAAGAGCCAAGGCTAGCTGAGATAATCTTAAAGAATATAGTTAAAGAATAATTTACAACATCAGATAAGGACTTCTTATAAGATAGAATAATTAAGACAATGTGGTATTGGCACAAGGATAAGCAAGGAGATCAACAGAACAGATTAGAGAGATTATCTATATACATATAAATATGAAATGTCAACAGTGAGAGTTTTAGAAAAAGATACTGGAGAGTATCTTTTTTAAAATATTTTTTTATTCGTTTATTCATATGTGCATACATTTTTTGGGCCATTTCTCTCCTGTACCCCCCCTCACTTCCAGACAGAATCTGTTCTGCCCTGATCTCTAATTTTGTTGAAGTATAAGCAATAATAAGAAAGACAAAGCATTTTTGCTAGTTGAAATAAGGATAGCTATACATAGAGATTCCTAGCATTGCTTCCATGTACAAATGTGTTACATTCCAAGTTAATTCATCTCTAACTGACCTTTTCTCTAGTTCCTGATCCCCTTCTCATGTTGACCTCTGTCGCTTTAAGGTTTCTGTATTAGTCTTAAATTGAACTATGAGATTTCACCAGTCACAAAAATACAGTCAGTCAAGATGTGACTTTTATAAGTAAAGCTTTCTAATTCGTTCAATTTACCAAAGCTCATTAACACTTGAATTTTCAGTTATTTTTGACACCAGAAAGAAATGATTCATTAGGCATAGTATGTATATAACTATCATACTCCATTTAGTAGAAAAAGACATGACATATGTTATTAGACAAGACCTGGATATTTGTTCTAGCTTTGCAAGTTACTATCTGTGAGAGGTTGAACAAGTCACATAAACTTCCCAACATCAAGTTTTCTTGCTTGAAAAATGAAGTTTAAAAAATAACCCCTTCACCTAAGGTCAACTGGAGGTTGGGTGACTTACTAGATAAGGAAGGAGATTCCTAATGGTATTATATGAATATGCAAAAGCATGAAAATTGAGTGACAATCCAAAACATAAATCCTGATTTTTCTCAACTCTGCTCCCTATCTAGTCTCCCATTACACTCAATGATCAAGCCAGGAATAAAACTTGATTTTCTTTTCCCTACTATCTCCAATACTTTACCATTGAGATTATTTGTAAATCTGAGATAATTTGCTTCTCTTATAGATAACTTAATATCAGAGCTGACATGGTGGTACACACCAGCACTTGAGGGGCTAAAGCAGAAGAATTGAGACTTTAAGGCCAGTCTAGACTATACAGTGAGTTCCAAGCCAGGCTAAGACCTCTTTCACATCTTTTTTTTGGCAGTGCTAGAGTTTGAACTCAGGGCCTCATGCTTACTAGGCAGGTGTTCTACTTCTTGAACCATTCCACCAGCCCAAAGACCTGTCTTTTTTTTTTTCTCTCTCTCTTTTTAATGAATTAAAATCACAAGAAATCATTAAAATTCAATACAAACCTCCATCAAGGCTCCGGGATGCCCGTTTGCTTGCTGTCCGTTCAAAGTGTGGGGCAGGCCTGTCAATTAGAGCACTAGCTTGCCTGGTCTGAGCTTGAGTCCGGCCGCTGTATCTAAATTTGGATCCCAGGGCAAGAAATTTGCTTTTGGGAAGAGTGTCTGTAGAAGTCAGCCTGGGGGGAGAAAAACATAATAATCATATTATATATGTATTACCTCATTAATCTGAGACCTTAAAATTAGAAATAATATAAAAAAATAAAATGTTTTATAATTCTCATGGCTTGATTTCCAATCAAGCAATCATCATTTTAATTCTGTGTCATGTCTCAAGCAACCAGGATAATTTAGTTGGGAACATACATTAATAACATCATCTTATATCTCTATAGATAGGATGTTATGGTTTTCAAAATGCTCTTATAAGTACTGCAATATTTTCACTGTGTTCCTGTAATGTTTTTACCATTGTACAGGCACAGGAAACTGAATCCCCCAAAAGAAGTTACTTGCTTAAGACACGTAGCTGCTGAGATTGGGCAGTAACAGAGTCCAAGCCCAGGGCTAATTTAGCTATAGTAAGGGCAATCACAGAGCCCCCATGAACACAGGTTCCCACTCCTCACTTGTGTCCTCCTATTGTGCACAGAAAGGTGCTCTGGGAATGTTAAGGCATGCTTTTCAACTGAAAACATCTTGCTTAAGATGACCTCACCTGAGCTAAATAAAAATGCCAGTTATATATGAAGAAGAGAATTTCAATAGTAGGTTTAAAATAGAAACGTGTAAATAATTTATCCTTGAAAAATACTTAAGTGAGAACAATACCTGAAAAATGTGTGGTGCTCTACACAGACTTTCCATAATTTCTTAGCTGCTCGGTAACTGGGAAGTTTGAATCCAATAGTACTTTCATACTGTTCTTGCTATAAAAACATAAATAAACACAGAACATGAAGTATTATTCAACTACAGTGATTCAGTAACAGAGAACTATGGTCCTACCAAAGAAGTCATTGTAAATACAAAGAATGTTACCAATTCTAGGGCATGAACTATATCATGTGAAAAATCTTCCTACTTACCTAAGGAAATCTACTCACAGAGGGTGACTTTTTCCAAAGCAAGAAAGCCAGGAAATGCATCTTAGATTATTTATGCATCTTATTTTTGTTCAGAAAACATCCATACACACACACACACACACACACACACACACACACACTTACATATGAGGCATAAAGAAGCTAACTTTTGATTGTCTAGACACTGCTTTTCCTTAGTTATTATCTGTGTTTGGGACATTAGATAATCAATGATCAGGGAATGAGACATCAAGTAATTCCTCCAATCAATCAGTATTATGCAATAGGAATTAGTAATGGGAGCTAAAGATTTTGACTCACACCAGATTCTATTTTTAAATTAATTTTTTTAATTCTCACATAAAAATATATTATGTTCAGCACATTGTTTTCAAATATGCATATACTGTAGAATAACTGAATCAAGCTAGTTGACATATGCATTAACTCATATACGATTTTTTTCCAGTACTGTGCTTTGAACTCAGGGCTTCATGCTTGCCAGACAGGCACTCTATCACTTAAGCCACACTTCCAGCTCTCACAATTCATTTTTTATGGTGAAAACACTTAAAATCTACTCTTAGCAATTTTTTGTCATTTCAGGAGATCAAACACAAGGCCTCACACATATTAGGCATCTCTTAGCAATTTTCAAGAATATAATACATTGTTACCTGAAGTCACCACATGGCATAATAGGTCTCTTGAACTCATTCCCAAGACTCTTGAATTATTAAAGGCTTCTTTTCATTTGGAGGCTACTTAAAAAGCTGGACATCGATCTACCATTTGATCCAGCAATACCACTCTTGGGGATATACCCAAAAGACTGTTACTCCA